AATGAAATTGTGACCATATGACCTTCAAAACACGTAATGTTTACATGAGATTTCGAAAAAATACACCTTTGTCTCATCCCACCTTTCAAAGCAGAAAATATCTGCATACTTATTCAGTTTGGCACAAATTTTGGGAAAATCTCTAAACTTTACTACTAAATACATTGTGATTTATTCCTAAGCCGCAACTAGGATCGGAGTAACCGAAGGTCAATCGGATGAAGAGAGCCAAACAGGCGTTCGGGCATCCATCGGGGCAGAGCAGGCAGAGTGGAGCGGGGATGGGGGGAGGTGGGGAGCACAGGGCGGCGGAGCGTTGGAAACAACTCATTCCTTTCCTTGTGTAATAAATAATTGTGATAAAGACATTCACGGGCCACCCTGGATTACATTCCCTGATAGCTAATAAATTTGTTTCATTATTGTGTTTATTTTACAGTCTCTGAAATCATAATTTTAAAAAAACTAATCTTACATCAAGAGATATTGTTTTAAGTTTCGCAGTTACATATTCAGAATTTCTTCGCTCAAATAAATTTTAAAAAAGATTTTTCTAGTAATTGTTTTTTTTGTTCTGAAGTATTCGCGTCTCGTTATATTTTGTAAAAGAATATTACTTTTAACGTCGTAAGTGTTTCAGAATTAGCAGCCGAAAGGCTTAGGTTTCAAAGATTAAGACTGCTTCGTGAAGGACTCAAGACACATTACTGATAGAATGTTGTTTCCAAAATGAATATTTTATTAAATAAAAATACATATGGTTTGTGAATTTTTAATAAAGTTTTCGATAAATGTCTGAAAGAAGATACTCATAAATTACAAAATAAAATGTTCAACTAATAATTTCAACAGTTTCATTGAAATGTATGCTCATAATCCTAGAACGTGTTGAATGCTACCTATTCAAATCTTCAAAAAAAAGAGAAAAATATTCCCCAATTGTGTGTGGAGGAGGGTCCCAATTTTGTCAAGATTTATGAATATTTACCATACAGACATTACGGCCTTGCTGTGAAATATTTTAGATACTAATTTACTGGAGGGAAAGAGTTTGTCAAAGCGTTTTCTGGTTGCAGGAAAACGTTACTAAGACGTATTCCTGTCACGCAAGCGATTGGAACCCAATTACTCTCGCGCGGTCAAATCGTCGGCTGAACGCCTCAAGTTCCGGTGAGTTTTGAAATTCATGCATATAAAATGAGTTCAATCTTCTTTTATGTGTTCGTTATTATGGCACGCTCTTTGGATTTTCTAACCTTTCTCGTCCTCTTTAATGGTCGTCATCTTATTGCATTTCGTTATCACAGTCTACCTTCTTTCTATAAAAAACAAACAGATCAGTCAATATATTGAACCTATTCACGATGAATTCTGAGTTTTTTATATAGTCATGTTAGCTCGTAAATTATCACAAATATTGTTGATTTACTTTTTCCCCCTCAAATTAGTGAATTATTTTATTATTCATTATTTGTCGGGACTTCTCAACGATATCAAATATAAAAATCGGATTTGTTTTAAAAAATCATATCTCAAACAAAACGCAGAATTTGATGGAAAGTCTAATAAGGCTAATTAATTAAATAATTCGAAAGACATATTTGTGAGAGAGCATTGAAATATCACGGTTTTTTAAGTATTCAGATAAACAATAGGCGTGACAATTTTTTTTACAAATTACTAAAAACCAAATGCTCTTACTCTCCCTTCTTTACACTACATCACTTTCATCTGTGCTTTTCATATTTATTTTACGATTTTTTTCCTCATCGTAATTTCACTTCCTGCTTCTTGGGCTTCAGAAGGGCATTTTAAAAAACAAGAGGCCGGAGCATTTTTACAACACACTTTGTCTCCTCCCTAGAGTCATAGCAGCGAGAGGGCTGTGAGACAAACTCGGCTCGTAAAATGGGTAGAAATTTCACATGAATAACCCTGGTCGTAATATTTACATTTCATGCATTATGACTGTAATCATAAGATTAAAAACATTCACGGCTGCTGCCAATTCTTTTAAATAAGTTTTCATTGTAAAAGAGTAATTTTAATGCCTATTTTTTCATCCGATGCATTTCATCTTAAGTTATCATAACAGTATTTACTAAAACACCTATTATTCCATGCTTCAAAGTAATGAACTGTGCAATATGTTTTTATTTTGATTTACATTTAACTTTGGTGGTAATTTAAAATTTCTAAAGATTTGAGAATAAGAAATAACTCAACTACGGCTCTTTTAAAAAATAATTTTAGTACGTTCACCTCCCATTTATTGGAGAATAAGCTTTGATATAAAAATGGACTAAAATAAGCTCGCCGTTACTGAGTTTCCGAATCATCAGACGAAAGATTAGTGGGTTGTACACTAATGTTATGAAAGCTAGATCACATGTCATACATTAAGTGGATACGTCAAATGAATTCAAAGAAAATATTTTTATAGAATATTTAGTGCTTTGAAAGAAAGTGTTGATAAAATAAATATCAAAATATACATGTGTTTAATTTCAGTGACAACAAAGAAGATTCAGAAGTAGAAAAAATATAGAAATATCAAAACTAATAACGGAACAAGGCAGGCCAGTAGTATTTATTTTATAGAAAACAAAATTTTTTAAGAAGGTAAACTAGAGTTAACAAAATGATTGCTATTTATGAAAAAGCTTGTAGAGAAATTAATGAATTTCAGTAAATAATAAAAGCTATAAAAACGAAATATTAACGTTCCTAATCTTGACTGTCAATTTTGAGTACGAAAAGAGGAAATATTGTCTCTTGTTGAACTAATTAAAGGGTATCCAGATGGTAAAAGCATTGAAAATTATAGTACAATACGGCGATAACCTTCTAATCTCGCTGTACATCTTAAAGTAATATTTATACCTTACTATCGATTTTATAATAGTATTTGCAACTTTGCAGTCGCTTCTTCTTTTAAGTATGAATGATGATATATTAATGATGATAATATGATAATAATAATAATGATGAATTATCAACTTATTGGTGTCATCGCGTCGATAGAGCAATTATAAAATATATTTATGTTTCAATTAATGAATTGCAGAATTTTTAATACATAAGAAAGTCAACGTATTACAAAATCCTAGTTCCTTATCAAAATGTGTCAATTCTGAGATAGTGTACAAAGTGTATTTAAGAATTCAGCAGTCTTTTATACATAATTTTAATAATGATAATACACGCAATAACCCCCAGTCCATTGCTCGGGTATTTAAATGCATTCAAATTATCTTTAAGACAGCTCGGACCACCTTGTCCTCTCATTCCGCTGGCCCCCTTTTGCCCCCTACGCCTCCCTGTTTCCTCTGCATTCTCACGCACCTCCCAACTGGCATGCGCTCCGTCCTCAGCTGCCCTGCCCTGAGCTGCCCAGCCCTCGACACCCCGCTCCGCCTGCACTACCTAGGCCCGACATCCGTGCCCTTGCCTGCCCAGCTTCAACTGCCCTTCTCTGCATTCCCCACGCTTGTGTTCTCTGCCCTTGCCTGCCCCGCTATCACCTGTCCTGTTCTCGTCAGTCAACAGCGCCTGACCTTCCTTGCCTGTCCTACTTCCACATGCCCTGCTGTCACCGCCCTTGCTCTCGCCAACCCTGCTCTCGCCTGGCCACTCCCCCTAGTTACCCCCTGATTCCTCTCATTCATCACCAACGCATGCCCCCCAACAACCTTACTACCCCCCCTCACCACTCCCCAACCCACTCGACTTTCCTTTCCTCTGCCTCTGCCCTTCCCGCTTGCAACGTTCCTCTAGCCCGCCATACAGTACTGTATGGCAGGTTGCCTAACTACATTTATTGTAAATTCCTCCAACTCGGCAACTGCCAACCAACTGCCGACAGTTGCGTGACACTACGAGTATTATCCCTATTACAGTACAACCTGGATTGCGAGAATCTTGGTTTGCGAGACGGTCAATATTTTTTAAGATATTTTACTTGATACACACGAGCAATGCTTGCAATATAAGTACACCTTTTTAGCCGATTGCATTCGTCGATCACCTCCGATATTGAGTTTATAATAAAAGAGAGAGAGGGATAGAAAAAGAGAGAGAGAGAGAGAAAAAGAAAGAAAGAAAGAAAGAGAAAGAAAGAAAGAGAGAAAGAGAGAAAGAAGAGGGAGGGAAAGAGAGAAAGAGAGAGGGGAGGAAGAGAGACAAGAGAGAGGAAGGAAAGAGAGAAAGAGAGGAGAGGGAAAGAGAGAGGGAGGGAAAGAGAGAGAGGAGGGAAAGAGAGGAGAGGGAGGAAAGAGAGCGAGGGAGGAAAGAGAGAGAGAGAAAGAGAGGGAGGGAGGAAAGAGAGAGAGGCGAGGGAAAGACGAGAGAGAGGGAAGGGAGAGAGAGAGGGAGAGAAAAAAAGGAGAGAGGGAGGGAAAGAGAGAGGGGAGGAAGAGAGAGGGAGGGAAAGAGAGAGAGGGAGGAGGAGAGAGAGGAGAGGGGAGGGAAGAGAGAGAGAGGAGAGAAAGAAGAGAGAGGGAGCGGAAAGAGAGAGGAGGGAAGGAGCAAGAGAAAGAGAGAGGGAGGAAGAACAAGAGGAGGAAGAGAGGAGCGATAAGAGGAGGGAAAAGAAAGAAGAGCAGGAGGAGAAAAGAGAGAGAGGAAGAAAGAGGGGGAGGAAAGAAAGAGCAGAGGGACGAAGGGAGAGTGAAGAGAGAGGGGAGGGAAAGAAAGAGAGAGGAGGAAAGAGAAGCGAGAGGGAGGGAAAGGGAAAGAAAGAGAGAGGGAGGGAAAGAAAGAGAGAGGGAGGGAAAGAAAGAGAGAGGGAGGGAAATAAAGAGAGAGGGAGGGAAAGAAAGAGAGAGGAAGGGAAAGAAAGAGAGGAAGGGAAAGAGAGAGAAGGAGAAAGGGAGAGAAAGAAAGAGAGAAAGAGAGAGATAAAGAGAGAAAGAAAGAAAGAGAGAAATAAAGAAAGAGAAAGAAAGAAAGAAACAGACAGAGAGAGAGAAAGAGAAAAGAAGAGCAAGATGATCACTTACCTTGGCGCGCGACGCCTCCGAGTGCGACTTGTAGCAGAACTCGAGCAGCGCGACGGCCATGGCGAGGATGAGGCCGCCGATGAGGATGTAGAAGATGCCCGCCACGTTGCTCAGCGACAGCTCGTTCCTCGACGCGTCCTGCGCACACAGATTCCCTCATTATTTTCTGTTTCCAGTCACGTCAACGGCATTGGTTATTGGTTCCAAAAGTGTTGTGCATGAAATAGGTAGGGAAGTTGTACAGTTCCTCGAGGCGAGAATGTGAGACCCGGCTTCGAAATAAAGGTTGGCATGAGGTTTCCCCCCACCAGGTATCTCCGTAAACGAAGCACTGTCACAGCCGAGGCAAGCTGTAAGCTCCCAACTGATGCCCTGTCATGTGTGGCTCACAGCCATCTTTCTCCGCAGAAACGCGAGATCAAGATCTTCGAGATTTTCTCCTCCAAGTACCTCCCTAAACGGAGCACAATCCCAGCTAGGATTAGTTCCAAGCTTCCATTTGGTCCCCCGAGAAGTTTTTTAGTATAGTGTAAGTAATATTAATAATAGCTTCTGGGCTGGATAGCCGTGATCTATTGTATTGCGTGTACCAGTAGCAATGAAAATGTCTGAAGCAGTCGTTGATGAAATGTTTGGGCGAAAAGTGTCCCATAGACCATGGCTTTCCAGCCTGGAAGGTATTATTAATAAGTTCAGCCGTGGAAGCTTACATTCTTTTGTAGTGTGCGTAAGTGTGTAAGAGGGTATGTAAAGATGGGACTGGAAGGATTGCCGCGGTCTGTAGCCCGTTTATTATAATACTGTTCCGATATTTGTTTGGTATTGATCAGATAAATCACGGAAAACGAAATGGTAGGGCAGTAAGCAGATAGAATGTGCCTCGAGAGTAGAAGATTAAGGCTCGAAAATTCTGTACCATTTAGACTCAAACTCTAGAACCTCTCGGTCAGAAACACTGCATATCACAGTAATGTTTGCAGTGAACAATCTCAGATGGTCCTTAACGCGAAAATAAATGTAGCAATTTACAGGTTAGTTGGCTAATAGAAAGACAGTTTTAAATTCAAATATCATATTTTACTCATACACTTGCATTTTATTCTTGTCTTCAAAAATGGATATCAACTAAAGAATAAAAACTGTCTTGCAATCGCTATCGGTCTTAAGACAATTGAGATTATTCACTGATGAAATACCTAATATAAAATGTGCATAAGTAGGTCGTGTCATTTCATCGCAAGTTAGTTTCCAAGTTCTTGAGACATACAGGCTCTACTAAAGTTTGCCCGAGCGCCGACGAGGTCGCCCGAGCCTCTCGCCCCAGCTGCTCGGCTGATCCCGGTGCGGCCCTCGAGGCATTTCCTCCCCTCCCCCTTCACCCCTTCCGCCCCCCAGCCCCGCGCCCACCGCCTTGCTCGCAACACCCAGCATTACCCTCGCTATCCCCAACGACCGTCCCCGAGCCCTAATGACCCTTCGGGGCCCCGGCGCTCCCCCCGGGGGGTCAATGCTCATACGGAAATCGATCCTTAACACTGGCTTCATTACTTGCTGCCTCCACGCATCACTCGCCGGCCCCTTAAGGCCCCGTAATTGCCCCGCACTCAAAACCTTCGGTTGGGGCGCGCTTTAAAATCAGGAAATCGTGTACTCGTACCACAATTATGATCTTCATAAATCACCGTTTGTTCTGTGACGAATTCAACTTTGTCTCTGATACATTAAGTGAATGACATGCATTGCAAGTCATACTACAGGATCTGAATGTGTCGGCCAATAATGTTCACTTCACAAACAAACAAACTCGTGGTACAACAGCAACACAAATGTTTTCCACTTCACAACACTTTACGTGAGCAATCAATTCAAAAGCGCTTAATCACACGTAGTGCCAGAAGTTCGAAAAACGTTCATATATTTAATTCACTGCAAATTTGAAAGTTCAAATAAAAAGTATGCCTTGGCCTGGCATTCAGTGCATTATACTATATTCTTTCAATAAGTGAACGTAAAATTATTTGAATATCTAATATTGAAAAATACATAGCATTAAGAAATAAATATCAACGTTAATATTTCATCAGATTCTAAAAAAATGCAAGCTTGGAAGAGGAAACCTATCCCCTCCGACAAGCGTAGCAAAAATCTTTAGTTTTGAATAAAATGTTACATAAGGTTAGCAACTATTTATAAGTTCTATAAATATATAATAAATAGTTTGACTATGAGATCTCTATCGCCAATGTACCATAAAATGTTTCTAAAAAAATAGGTGAGAGGACGAAAAGAAAAGACACTTGGTTTGTAGTTTGCTTCCAAACTCTTACACAATGTCAGTGCTCATTATACGTGACATATATTTGAACTCTCCAGTGTTATTTTAAATAAAAATATTTCAACTCAAAAACGAGAACCCTTCAGCTTATTTGCTTCGAATAAATAATTAATAATGCTAATAAAATAACCCGAAATATTCCTGAATCTCAAAATAAAAATGTATACTTAAGTAATGAGATATTTCTTATTCGATGACAGTACCACAAACAAATCAGCTCGCACCCTCCAAAACGTCACAAGGTTAATAGTGAAGACATACTGTTTGGTAATAAATGTATATAATATATTAATAATCGGAAGTTCTAGTCGTTTTGAGTCTTGCTTCGGGCCGACCGTATGAACGCATCTGTGCCTCGCCAGCTCCACTTCGTAAGTCGATATCCTAATCACAGCGAAGGGCCGCTTTCATCATGAAAGCTCTCCCTTTGCACACTTCTTACATAGTGATCCAATTCGAACTGCAACTTCCACGTAGGGATTTTACTTCAGTGAGAAATGCATCGCTGAACGTCAGTATAGTGTCCTTACCCATCCTATTTAACCCCGAACTTGATCTGTAGGGTGACAGCACTAAATCGTCGCACTTATACTCAGAAGTCCCAAGGCACGTATACCCTTCGTCCCCAGTTGGGCCTTTGACAAACCTTTTCAATAAAATACCAAAAGACAAGCAGCCAGCAATAGTGACATATCAGTGAATGCTCTTAAATAATCGGTTGCACTGGCGACAGGCTCCATCGATAATGAAGAGAGCGACTCTGAAACACAAATTATAACAATGCCACGCCCAACCTTTACCCTCATCAGTCTCTCTGCATAAAGTACAACATTTTAAACGGCACAATACTGATATTACTCTTTATTAGTACTCCTTTCAGACACCTTTTCAAGGGTTTCGCCACCTTGCCGATATAATAGGAAACAAAAGAACACATTTTATTGAAGATTGAGTTCAAATCACACATTTCGTGTGCCTACAAATTACTCACGTTTGAACTATACGTGGTGTTTGACGTGATTTGTCTTCAAACGTCGCTGAAGAAATTAATAAAATAAACATTACTATAGAGAAGATTAGCCGTCTAATAAGGCTCGACTACTCTTCCTTATTCTCAGATAAGTTAAATGATATAGTGAACTTTGAATACTTATTCAAAACAGATTACTAACTCAATAGTATTAGTGGAACTACGACGTATGCAGAAACAATAATATAATAAAGTACAACCGTCGTCAAGATGTCGGCCACACAAAAAATTATTGCAAAAAATTACAAAATGTGTTAGATGCCTACACGAAATTTGAAACTGCTTCCTCAACCCAAAACCACCCACACATGCTTTCAATAACTCACTGCTTCTCCAGAAGACTGCAAATATTTTCAAAAAAGGCACCTCGCTTCCCAGAATAGGAGCGCATTGCACCATTCCTACACTGAAATGGCGTTTGGGCTCATTTCGTTCCATTCCTATCACGGCTCCTTTCCACAATACCATACACCATCAGCGCCTCAACCAGTATACAGTTAGTAAAGTAGAACCCATCCACTACATTTACTATATATAATTTTTTTTCTAAATGAATATTACATATACAATATATTTTGGGGGACGTTTTCGCAACTTTTCGTTATTTAACTCTTTGCGTCTTTGATTGTAGGTAAATATTCATTTAAAGAAATTACTACGATTTTCACTTCACATTTCCTTCCACTCAGGAAAACTATTTTTATCCCCAAATGATGGATAAGTTGCATGACACATCAACTCAAGGAAAATCAGGCCCCAAGTGTAGAGATTCAAACCCCATTCCTCCGTAAATATCGTACAATAGTCGTTACCATTCGTCCCAATGTTCTCATTATCATTACTTAATAAACTCTTGAAAAGGTCTAACCAACTTTGCGCATTTCCCTTCCAAAATCAACCTCAGAAATCAAATATTTTCTGAAGAGGTTTCCTGTCGGGATATTCTTAATCTATGATGATACCTCATTGGCGTGCAACTCTTCGTCTGAAGCAAATCGACGACTAGGAATATCTTCAAGCCTCCAAAAACTCGCATGATGATAGATCAGAATTGTATGGAGATTGTGTGTTTTCCAGGGGAACTTCTGCAGCATAGCTGAAACAACCTTGCCAGCACGTGGATGGGCAGTACCGTGCCACAGAATGATGCCGTCTCTCCGGAGCGGTGAACGTTCGCGCTGTTTCTACCCAATAACTAAAGAGGTCACTTCGACACACACATTTGTTAGCTTTACCAACTTCCGAGCCATGCTCGATGTACAGCCCGTCTCGTTTTCATTTGACTAACCCTCAAATAACTTTGCTAGGTAGCAACTGGGAGTTTAGAGTAGGATCTGCAGTACACGTGCGGATTATTCTCTTGGGCTGCCTTTCTTAAAAGAAAATTGCAATGTGAATAAGACTCTACAGACTAGAAATGAAATAGTTATGCATAGTAAATTAGCTAAATATATTAAAATAGGTTTTTGTTTGATTGAAAAATGCAGCAATTGGCGCAGACTGCCTTTTCTTGCTCTGCGCTAAGTAGATAATCGGATATGCATTATTTAATTCGTTTTCGCTAATGTGCTTTTCATCCGACTACATCCCGACGAATGCTTCGAAATTGCTCCAACTTTGGACTTTATCCACCCCTTTTGAAGAATGTAAACATTAACCTGATAATTCTGGAATTAGCCTTAATCGGACATTAACTGCAACATATTATTTTCCTCCGATTGACACATCGCTCTTCACACATATCTACGTACTTCGCTTTTCATTAGATCGATC